AGTATATTACATAATATAATCACAACTATGTAAAATATTTAAAATATTAAAAATTGAAAGGAAATTACAACAAACTCAACTGTATTTGGGTAATTAGGTAATTAGATTTCCCCTTTTTTCTTCCAATTTCTGTATATTCCAAATGGAAAAGTTAGAAAGAATTCATCACACACATGTAAATGCTTTTGAAAAATTAAAATGCTACAGAATTATCTGAGTCCAGAGATTATTCTTTCATAACATTTTCAATTATTGTCTTTAGGGTAGGGTTAGTTTATTTAGATTTGTCCACTTCTCAAATGAATTTTGGAACTAATATTTTTTCCCAGAAAATCACTAATTTCATTGAGATTTTCAAAAATGTTAGCAGGCTATTTTCCTCTGCTATTTGTGATTTATAATGTTTAAATGTTTTCTCTCAATTGGATTTACCATAGGCTTGTTAACAAAGATTTTATTTTTGTATTTATTTATTAATGTCACTATTTTTCTATTTTCTATTTTCTAATCAATTTTCTTCTGCTTTTACTTTATTTTTTTCTAGCTTTTTCCTTGGGGGCAGGGGAGGCTTTCTCCTTTTTGTAATTCCTTGAGTTGGATGCTTAGTTCATTTATTTTCTTTCTTTTTTCTATAACGAAAGCAAGTGAGAATATACATCTACCAAGTACTGTTATTTTTTAAATAGTCCACTGTAGGGATTTGTGTGTGGCAGGGGTGAGAAGGTTGGGGCTTTCTGTTTTTGTAGTTTTGGAAGATACAGGGGCAGGAGAGGAAGGTCCTGCTTGTCATATACCAGACTGTATACTTAGACTAATGAAGACGTCAGAGAGGCTTTATCCTAGTACAGGAAGAATACACCTAAGCTGAGGATAGAGCCAGGATTTTAACAAGATCTGCGACAATGATTGGAATCCTCCTTTTGTCTGGTGTTCAGCCACTCACGTTACCACAGCAGGTGCTCCAAGGTGCTAGCCAGTTAATTCTCCGAAGTTGGATGATGAGCCAGGGGCATATTTGAATATTCTGGGCTATTTAGGAAGTTCAGGAAGGTTGACCTGTGGCAGGTGTCATCCAGAAAGCAGGCTGGGCTTGTGCTTAAAAACCTGATGAGATAATTTAATTCAGTAAGATATTTAAAATAAAGAGAGCAAAATATACTGATAATACACTGTGCACTAAAGGGGAAGCAGGAAATTACTAAGCATTGTCTGGATTTTTTATCTGTTCAGTTGCCTATGAGGGACATGTTATGTCACAGTCAAGGGAAAAAGGGACTTTGGCTTTTGATCATGTACTTCTAATGGAAAGAAATGCAGGGGTTATACTTTTTCTAAAATTTTCTTTCCAGAGTGGAGAGTGTTCTAAAGTTTATTTGAAAATTATTTATATCTACACTTTCTAAATGTTTCACACAAATTTATTTGCTCACTTATATTTACTGTTTAAAAGCACAGGGAATTTGAATCTGATTTTCATCTTAAAGGAATTATACCCTTTTACAAGGCATAATTCCTTTAAGATGAAAGGTATATATCTACAAAAGGTATATATCTACGGAAGGATATACATTTCACACAAAAAAAAAATTGTCAAACTAGATGCTGGGGACATTTATTCTTTTTAATAAATTTATGTGAATTCATTACTTATCTTTGACTTGTCAAACAAAGAATTTCAGAGGAGGAAAATAGATATTGATGAAATTCTCCATCAATTTGTAGGTTGTGGAGAATAAATAGGTTTTTAAGAACAATTATCTTTTCCCATTTCCCAGTAGCAAATCTTCATAAGAAATTGAAATATTCCAGAAATATACAATGTATAAAATGCAAGTTCTCCTTAAGATTACCCCCAACTGATACTCACGGTGAATTTTATTTATTTATTTATTTATTTATTTTACTTTATTTTGTTTTTCTTGAGACAGAGTCTCACTCCGTCACCAGGCTGGAGTGCGGTGGCATGATCTCCGCTTACTGCAACTTCCACCTCCTGGGTTCAAGTGATTCTCCTGCCTAAGCCTCCTGAGTAGCTGGGACTATCAGGCACATGCCACCACGCCCAGCTAATTTTTGTATTCTCAGTAGAGACGGGGTTTCACCATGTTGGCCAGGATGGTCTCGATCTCTTGACCTCGTGATCTGCCTGCCTTGGCCTCCCAAAGTGCTAGGATTACAGGTGTGAGCCACCGTGCCTGGCCAACATTTTTAAGATAATAATTTTCACAAAAACAATCATACCATATCTTTTGTAACTTTTTATTTTACTCAATATACCTTTGGCATCTCTTAGTTTCTAAAAACTGGGTGGTATTTTAATGAATAGACATATAGAAATTTAAATTCCAAATATTAGGCATTCGAGTTTCCCAATTTAAATAAACAGTGCTTCTTTGTACATACGTTCAAACATTTAAGTAAGCATTTCTATATAGATAAATCCAGGAAGCTAAGTTTTGAATCAAGGGGTATGGACAACTTCTCACCTTCTAAATAAGTCTTACCTTCTAAAAATGTACAACTAAGTATGCCCGTATATCCATACACTTCCTAACACTGAATATTATAAATTGTTTGTCTTTAGCAATCTGAAAGATTTTTAAACATCTTTCTTGTTTTATTTAAATTCTTATTAGTGAATCTTTTCATATTCATTATTCTTAGTTTTGTGTTCTATAAATGTCATCTGAGTTCGTGTGAAGAGAGTCCACCAGGCTTTGTGTGAGCAATAAGGCTGTTTATTTCACTTGGGTGCAAGTGCGCTGAGTCCAAAAGGAGAGTCAGCAAAGGGAGATAGGGATGGGGCAGTGTTACAGGATTTGGGTAGATAGTGGGAAATTACAGTTAAACGTGGTTATCTCTTGTGGGCAGGGGCGGGGGTCACAAGGTGCAGGGTGGGGAGATCATGAGACTCATTGTCGGGGGTGGGGGGAATGTCACAAGGTCGATTGATTAGTTGGGGTGGGGCAGGAACAAATCACAATGGTGGAATGTCATCTTTTGTGGTTCTGCAGTTGCTCCAGGTCATCTGGATGTATACTTGCTGGTCACAGGGGTTATGATGGCTTTGTATCATATTGTCAGAGGCCTGACAATAAATGCATGCAGGTTAAGTACTTTGTCTATTTTTCTATTGGCTTGTTCATATTTTTATTTTTTGGTAAGATAAAAGGTCTTTGTATATAAGGAAAATCAGCTGTGTCTTTTAGATGTGTGGCATATTTTACTTTTAATTTATATTTTATTTTTACTTTTTTCATTCAAATATTTTAATTTTACAAGACCAGTTTCATTTATCTTTTCCTCCATGGCCTTTTCAGTTTTATGTCTTTAGGGTTTTGCGTTATTCTTAAAAAGCCCCTTCCCAGTCCAGTTTTCCAACCTGTCTCCCTGCTTCTGCCCTTGCCCAACCCCTTCACATTCAAGTCTACTGTTAACATAGCAGCCAAAATAATAATTTCAATACCCAAGTTTAATCATGTTACTTCTCTACTCAGAAATCTCGAATGAGCCATGCTGTGTAGCTCACACCTGTAGTTCCAGCTAGTCAGGAGGCTGAGGCAAGAGGATCACTTGAGCCCAGGAGTTTCAGGCTGCAGTGAGCTATGATCACACCACTCACTGCACTCCAGTCTGGGTGACAGAATGAGACCCATCACTTAAAAAAAAAGGAAAAGGAAAGAAAAGAGAAAAGAAAATAAACTTTCAGTAGCTTAGCATTTTATCATTTTAGAGTAAAAATACCCTTGCACTCACCGAAGGTTCTCACTCTCTCTCCACCCAATGCTCTTTTGCTCACTCAGCTCCAGAAAAACAAGTATCCTTCCTTTGCCCAAATTACTTAAAACACACCTCACTCCAGGCTTTTGCATTTGTTATCCCTCTCCCTGAAACATCTTTATTCCTGATGGCCCATTCCCTCAGCTCCCTCAATCTTTGCTCAAATGTCAATTTACTAGTCAGGTCCTCCATGAATATCCTATTTAAACTGTATCACTTCATTCTCACCCCAAATTCCCTATTTCCTTTATTTTCTCCTTAGCACTAATATTCACCATCTATACACTATATTTTTTTTGGTTTATTGCCTGCCTTGCCACCACACACACACATACACACACACACACGATTATAAATTCCATGAAAGAAAGGGCATTGTTTTGCTCAAAATTAGTTCCAGCTTCCACAATAGTGCCTGGCATAGTAGGTAAGTCAATATTTGTGGAAGAAACGGGAAGAGGGAGGAAAAAACTAAGAGCATTTTTCAACCATCAGTTTAGCAAAGATCAAAATATTTTATAACACTGTGTTGACAAATATAGGTAAATAAGAATATTGCTAGTAGATTCTATGATTGGTGATTTGGCATTAACAAAAGTACAAATTTCCCTCTTCTATGCTGTAGTAACTCCCTTTCTAGAAATGCAGACTATGGATATATCCTTACACATGAAAAATGTGAGTTCACGGTAAGTTATTGCAGCAATGTTTGAAAAAGAAAAATTGGAAACAACCTCATGGCCACCAATGGGGGTACTTTATTAATATATTACGGCACATAATACACAGTTGAATACTGTGCAGTTGTTTAAAAAGACCAAGATCAAGGAAACAGTTATGTACAGTCTTTACCAAGATCACTTGGTAAAAAGAAAAATAAGAAAGTTACAGAAATGCTACTCTTTATGCAGAGGGGAAAAAGCGCAGACAATCTATAACGGTGTAATGTATCTATGGAAGGATATACAAGTCACGAAAAATACTGTCAAACTAGACGCTGGGGGACATTTACTTTTTTTAATAAATGTATGTGAATGCATTACTTATCCATATTACTTATTTAATAATTAAACCGGAAAACATTTTTAAAAAGTAGAAATAAGACTTGCTTGCAGGCCCCGCAATCCCATCAATACGAGGTGTAGAACCCGGGTCCTCCACTGCCTAGGGCTGAGGAGGCAAGCCCTAAAGCTGCCACAGAGGCGAAGCTTCCTAGAGCGGCCCGGAAGTGCCCGGCTGAAGCGGCCGGGCGCTGATTGGTGTCTTTTTGAGTCTAGTCTTTGTTCGGGGCTGTCCAAAGGACGCTAGCTATTGCACCTGTTCCTCCCCGCGCGTAAGGTGAGTGTCTCCCGGCTCCCAGGTGGAGAAAAGGGGACAAGGCGCAGCTGTGGTCAGCAGCAACACCCTCCCACCACCTCCCTGTCGCGGGCAGAGTGTAATACTCCTCTCCCTCCCTCCGTCCCCCAACAGATCTACGGGAGAGGAGTTGGCCCGACCTTCTGGCAGAGGACGGGTGGAAGGGGGACACTGGTTGCGGGTTCCTTTGCAGAGGCATCTGATTCCCTTCCAGGGCTGGCACACATATCCTATAACCAGTGAATCCTGGGGACACAAATGGCCCATGCATCTCATAGTAACAGAATGAAGAGCCTTTTAACAAAGCAGTTAATAATACTTGGTGTTTATTTAGTGCTTACTAGTGCCTGCTGCCATGCCAGAGACATTGCATACGTTCTCATGTAATCTATGTATCAACCCTGTAACACACATGAGAATTGTACATGAGGATCTGTAGTTCTAGTCCAAATAAATAACTTCCCAAGTTACACAATAGAGCACAGATTCAAACCATGTCCCTGCGTCACTGTTTATTGTTTTGTTTTGTTGTTTTCAGCTTCCTATAAGACTGTTTTCTCTGATTGACTTCTGGTGGCTTGGCTTCATTATGATGTGTTTATGTTCACAGCAATTTTTGTAATTTCTCTATGGTAACAACTTTTTATGCCTTAGGAGTGTCTCTGAGGCAGGATTCTAAGAGATTCTCTTTGACTCAATCTCTCCTGACAGAGCCCAGAATGACCACAGCCCTGGAACCTGAGGAACGAAAAGGACTTCCGATAATTAAGGCAGAAGACCATTACTGGGGACAGGATTCCAGCTCACCAAAGTGCAGTCCTCACAGGAGGGAACTCTGTAGACAGCACTTCAGGAAGCTCTGCTATCAGGATGCACCTGGACCCCGTGAAGCTCTTACCCAGCTGTGGGAGCTCTGCCGTCAGTGGTTGAGGCCAGAATGCCACACCAAGGAGCAGATTTTAGACCTGCTGGTGCTAGAACAGTTCCTGAGCATTCTTCCTAAAGACCTGCAAGCATGGGTGCAGGCACACCATCCAGAGACTGGAGAGGAGGCAGTGACTGTGCTGGAGGATCTGGAGAGAGAGCTTGATGAACCTGGAAAGCAGGTGTGAAGGGGCAGTCATCTGGCTGTGAGTGATAAGGGCATATGGACGGAGCCAAAGCAAAAGGCATATGAAAAAACATCTCAAAATATTTATACTCTAAAGAACAAGGCATAGGAAAGGACCTGACTACCTATGTCAAATAATTAAAGTGTGGCTGGGTAAAGAGAAAAAGAGTCACTAGACTGATTCTATGCCTGTTTGGAAGGCTAAGATCAATGGGAAGTTACCAAAAGGCAATCAGGTATTAGAGGAAAAGAAATAATTTTCTGCCATTCATAGATACCCATAAATAAAATAGGCTACCCCATAAGAAACTCCCTTTCCATATAGGTATTCAAGCGGAGATTCAAGTAGATGTCAAGGATATTGCAGAATAGACCTGTCCAACAGAAATGTAATGAAAGCTGTATATGTATTTAAATTTTCTAGTAGCCACATTAAAAAAACAAAAACAGGTGAAATATATTTTTAACCCACGATATTTATCTCATTTGTACTAGCCATATTTTAAGTACTCAGTGACCACATTTTGCTAGTGACTACCATATCAGACAGAATGGTTATAGAAGAAATGCTCCCATTTGCTGGAAGTTGGGCTAGATGATTTTTAAGCTACCTTCCAAATCCCAGTGCTCTGATCCTGGACTTCTGCAGATCAATGAAAGAAGAGACACTGAATTTTACTCTCTAGTGTCCTCAATTGTAGAGATTAGCCTCTGTTCCTTTTCCTAGCCATTATTGCCATTTACAATGAAATGAGACTTTGTCCCCCCTTCCTATGTCCCTGGCAGATGTTTCATTTGATTATCTGAAGTTACTTAAGTTTCCATAAAGTTCACCTTACACACCTTATTTTCCCTAGGTCCCAGGCAATTCAGAGAGACAGGACATACTCATGGACAAGTTGGCCCCCTTGGGAAGGCCATATGAATCACTGACTGTCCAGCTCCATCCCAAGAAGACCCAACTGGAGCAGGAAGCTGGGAAACCACAAAGGAATGGTAAGCAGGAACAGCTCTAAGTATATGAGGGAAGAGGTGCTTCCTTAGGTGAGAGGAGAACTTTCTCCTTTTAAAGATTCCCTGCTTGTCCTCCACCTCACTGTGGATAATTTTCTCCTGTTATTACCCTTGCTCCATGATAGAGTTATATTTTAGTTTCTCACTGGACAAAAAAAGCTGTTATTTGGCCCAAGGGATGAGGATGGAGTTTATTTAATATCCTTATAATTCTGTTGTTATCTAATGATTCTAGTTCCAAATCTCCCTAAATTTCCATTTTGAGACAGGAGAACTTATGGCACCCTGTATTGGTCAGCGAGGCCTGCCATACAAAATATCATAGACTTATGGGTGGCTTAACAATAGAAATTTATTTTCTCACAGTTCTGGAGGCTGGAAGTCCAAGAAGAAGATGCTTACAGGGTTAGTTTCTAGTGAGGCTTCTCTCCTGGGCTTGCAGACTTCTTGCTGTGTCTTCACATGGCCTTTCTCTGTACACACACTCCTGGTGTCTCTTCCCCTTGTAAGGACACTAGTACTACTGGATTAGGGTCCTACCCTTATGAATTCATTCAACCTTAATTACTTCATTAAAGGCCCTATCACCATATACAGTAATGTTTGAAAGGGGTTAAGGCTTCAATGTGTGAATTTGTGGAGGAAGACAAGTCAATCCATAACACATTCCCATGATGAAAGAAGTAGGGAAAAGAGACAATGATCAGTCAGTACAGCAAAGTTTCTTGTTTTTATCTGCATGTCAAATTAACTGGGTTTGGTCCCCCATCCCAGCTCCCTAATTACAAACGAGGGTGTCTAGTGTATCCCCCAGGCTACATTAAAAAGCAGGTGAATTTTAAATTCCAGTTTGTCCAAACCCTACCTTTTTCAGTGCTTACCGCCCTTTCTCTAGAGGCTCTCATGTCTAATAATGCCTCTCCGGGTAGTTCCTTTTACTCCAGCCTATTTTGTATTCTTACTACTTAAGTTTTACCAATATAGTTCTCCCATTTTGTAGGATCCCTACCCAATGATTTGTCTAATCTGAAAGATTATTTTGAGCGAAGATGTTCCTAGCTGCTATCTGGAAAGGATGACATTTAATTATATGTAACATAAAGAAGCATTTAAGTGCTTTAACTCTAGGAGTGGAGTACTGGTTAGTTTGACTTTAGAAGTGAGATTGAGAACCTCCTATCTGTTCTTTTTTATTTTTATTTTATTTTATTTTATTTTATTTTAGAAGAGAGGTCTCACTATGTTTCCCAGGCTTGTCTCAAACTCCTGGGCTCAAGTGATCCTCCCACCTTAGTTTCCCAAGTGCTAGGATTATAAGCGTGAGTCACTGTGCCTAGCTCAACCCATCTTTTGATTCATTCATCTTTCATTGAGCATTTACTAAGTAGCAGCTGTATGCCAGGCACTATACTAAAATAAATGTAAGGAATCCAAAGGTAAGACACTTACATTACTTCTCTTCAAGAAGCAGGAGAGTGAGCACTTACAATAGCATAATAATTACTGTACTAGAGATACACTGTGAACTGCAAAGAGGATAGCTATCCCTAAGGTGCACCTGCAAAAGTATCACAGAGTAGGCTTGCTTGAGCTGAGAAGGTCATGTGGGAACTGAAAGGGGGTGACATTTTAGGCAAAGAAACAGAGAAAAAAGCATCAGAGAATAGTATTCTAAGAATAGCAACTGCTCTGAGTTTGATTCTGATAAGGAGTCATCTGTGGGAGGGAAAATCAGCAATCTGTGTTTTAATAAACCATCCAGCTGATTCTGATGCACAGTAAGGTTAGAAACCACTAAGCTAGGATTTAGACAGGAGGCGATAACAGCAAGAACATCAGTTTCAGGAAAAAAATATTTTATCCAGCATATACACTGACTATCCATTGTCATTTCCTATTCCTTTTCATTCCTCTGTTTACCCTGACCTGCATGTTGTCACCCTGCTTCCAGCTAATTATTATCCTTCAAACACACGCCTCTCCTTGGATGGTTCCTATTCACTATATTCCTTTCAGACCCCAAATCCTATTATCCTCTCCATTCACTTTTACTTGATTTTACTTGCCACCTATGTTTCAGGCCCCTGCATGTTTCTCCCAAACTTTTACCTCCATCCCCATCTCTGTTCTCCAGTCTCTCTAATTATCCTTGGCATATCTATAGTCCTCTCATTTATCCTTCTTCCCTTATACAGTATTGCTAGCTTATCTTTTGAGCTCTATTTTTGCCTTTTCTTCTTAATCTACTCTCAAACAACTTCTTCTGCTTATATCTTCCTTCTTTATTTCTTCCCTCAATTGTGACTCTGTGCTATGATGATACCAAAAATAAGATGGTACCAAATATTTGATATGTGTGTTGTTATGTTGACTTTCATTATTTTATAACACATTTATAACATTTACATGTTCTTTCTTCCATAGGCTGTTTGCTTCTCAAACATACAATAGGACCCGTTTGTGTACTGTTTGTTTGTTACAGGTGATAAAACTAGGACTAAGAATGAAGAGTTGTTCCAGAAGGAAGATATGCCCAAAGACAAGGAATTCCTTGGGGAGATAAATGACAGACTGAACAAAGATACTCCTCAGCATCCTAAGTCCAAAGATATTATGGAAAATGAGGGCAGATCAGAATGGCAACAGAGGGAAAGAAGACGATATAAATGTGATGAATGTGGGAAAAGTTTCAGTCATAGCTCAGACCTTAGTAAACACAGGAGAACTCACACTGGAGAGAAGCCGTATAAATGTGACGAGTGTGGAAAAGCCTTCATTCAGCGCTCACATCTCATTGGACATCATAGAGTACACACTGGAGTAAAACCCTATAAATGTAAAGAATGTGGGAAAGATTTCAGTGGGCGCACAGGTCTTATTCAACATCAGAGAATCCACACAGGTGAAAAACCCTATGAATGTGATGAGTGTGGAAGACCTTTCCGAGTAAGTTCAGCTCTTATTAGACATCAAAGAATTCACACAGCAAATAAACTCTACTAATATAGTAGTGATATCAAAAGTTCTTTAGACACTCAGGCCTAACTAGTTATCAGAGAATCTAATTTAGAAACCTTGAGTTTCCTCAGTGTGGTCAAAGCTTCAGTCATCATTAAATTTCTCTGGCACCAAAGAATCCACCTGAGTAAAATGTCCTTTTATTTCAAATTAGTTCAGTTTTGAGGGGGAATCAAGAATTCTTTCAGAAAGCTTTGTCCACTGACAACACTGGTCACCTGCAGTCCAAGATCAATGGTTCCTGGATGAAAGACAGTGAATTAATTCTGTCTCTGCTCTAGATCCTTTTAGTTGACCATTCACTGTCTGACTTTAGGCAAGACATACAGTTTTTCTCTGCCTTCATTTCCCCTTCTGTACAGATGATAATGGAAGCTCACCAGGTGTGTTTTGACAAGTTAAAACAGATGAAAACTACTTTTGAGATTAACATATAAAACAATGCTAATTATTTGTTTTCCATCATTACTCATATAATATCCTAAATATCCCTTTTTTATCTTAAAATGGGGAGTATGATTATTTTTTGGAAATTTTTGTTTGCCAGTGATAAAGAATAAGCCATCAGAAGACAAGGCCAGCCTGGTCAACACAGCGAGACCCCACCTCTACAGAAAATTAAGAAAAATTAGCCAGGCATGGTGGCACACACCTGTAGTCCCACACAACTATTTAGGAGGCTGAGGTGGGAAGATCACTTGAACCCAGGAGTTCAAGGCTGTAGTGAGACGTGATTGCACCATTGCACTCCAGCCTAGGCAACAGCAAGACCTTATCTCAAAAAGAAGAAAAAAAAGGAGGCTGAGGAAAACAAAATGGAGGAGAAGGCAGTCTGTGATCATTAGGAGTTGCTGGGGAGAGGAAAGGATCTATAACTAGATAAATAACTTCTTTTCTGGATTTCAGGTTATTTTAAACTGAGGGAGATAGGAAGGGGTTGATCTAACTTGGTCCAGTTTGTCCAGATTGGTGGCCAGTACTCACATTAACTCAAATAAAATGGAAAATTCAGTTCCTCACATTTCAAGTGCTCATAGCTACATGTTAGTGGCCACTATATTGGATAGCACAGATACACACTTTTTTTGTCTTTTTTTCACCCAGGCTGGAGTGATCCTCTGTTCACTGCAAGCTCCACCTCCCGGGTTCAAGCGATTCTCCTGCCTCAGCCTCCTGAGTAGCTGAGATTACAGGCATGCACCACCATGCCTGGCTAATTTTTGTATTTTTAGCAGGATTTTGCCATGTTGGCCAGGCTGGTCTCAAACTCAAGTGATCTGCCCACCTCAGCCTCCCAAAGTGCTGGGATTAAAGGTGTGAGCCACCACACCTGGCCACATCACTAATTTGAGAATCTTATACCATGACAGGAATTGTGGCCGAAGGCCTTGCACATTCAAATTCACACCACCAATCAAACTGCCAAGAGCAGAACTCTGGTTCTTTGCTTAGTTCTAGGAATAATGATCACCAAAACAATCAGGAAAGAAGTGATCTAATCTCTTCAAATCTCTTGTTTTCAATTAAGAGATTTCAATTGAAGATATCTATTAAGAACACCTGCTTTATCGTTGTGTTTAAGATCAGGAAAACTACAAGAATCATTTTTATGTCTACAACTATAGGAACATGAATCTTTAAAAAATAATAATAATAAAGAGTTTAGCCTCATTGTCCAGGCTGGAGTACAGTGGCACAATCATACCTCACTGAAGCCTGGAACTCCTGGGCTCCAGCGATCCTCCCACCTCAGCCTTCCTAGAGTAGCTGGGACTACAAGCACACACCACCGTGTCTGGGTATTTTGTTTGTTTTAGAGATAGGGTCTGACTATGTTACTCAGGCTAGTATCGAATTCATGGCCTCAAACAATCCTCCCATCCTCCACCCAAAGTGCTGGATATTACAGGCATGAACCACCATGCCCCGCCAAGAAAATGAATCTTGAGGTATTTCTCATAATGCCCTAAACATAAACTGAGCTTTTATGTCCCTTTAACATAATGGTCCTTTAAAAAAAAATGTATATTTACTTTGAATATCTTACATCAACACATTTTTTAATGTCAGGTTTCACACGAATACTTGTTTTGTGACTTACTATAATTACCTGAGCAATATTTCAAAGAATTTGAAACAGTCAAAGAAAGGATTTTCTTTAATGGTCCTGAAAAGTAAAGTATGAAATATTTAATATTAGTATTAGAAACATCCTTATTTTAAAAATAAAGTTAGGTGCTTTCTGAATAATGGCTTTTCCCCTTTTACCTTTAATCTTTCTGAGAAACACTACAATGCTTAGAAAGTGTTCAGATCTTTAAAGGGGAAACTCACGTTTCTGATCTTATCCTTCCTTGAATTTAGGGAGGCTTCTGCAATGGTAAGAAAGATGATTTTGGCTACCCCAAGAGTAGATTTCCTAAAATTGGTAAACACATGACAGACTGATTTTCCTTTATCCTCTGTATCAGCAGTCCCCAACCTTTCTGGAACCAGGGACTGGTCTCGTGAAAGACAATTTTTCCAGGGACAGGGAAGTGGGTGTGGTTTCATTTATCATTAGATTCTCATAAGGAAAGTGCAACCTAGATCCCTCGCATGTGCAGTTCACGATAGGGTTTGCGACCCTGTGAGAATCTAATCCCACTGCTCATCTGACAGGAGGTAGAGCTCAGCTTTGCTTGCTCACTGGCCCCTCACCTCCTGATTTCCTGGCCATGGCGGGGACGTGGGGACTTCTGCTATATATGACAGAACATTCCATTCAGCTAGTAGTTTTGAATACGTATTATGTACAAAGAGCTATTCTAGTCTTAGAGTTCTGCACCCTTAAAGGCTGAGTGAAGAGCAGTCTGGAGCAGTATAACCATTCTACCCTTTTTAGATTTTTTTTTTTTTTTTTTTTTTTTTGAGACGGAGTCTCGCTCTGTCTCCCAGGCTGGAGTGCAGTGGCCGGATCTCAGCTCACTGCAAGCTCCGCCTCCCGGGTCCACGCCATTCTCCTGCCTCAGCCTCCCGAGTAGCTGGGACTACAGGCGCCCGCCACCTCACCTGGCTAGTTTTTTTTTTTTTTTGTATTTTTTAGTAGAGACGGGGTTTCACCGTGTTAGCCAGGATGGTCTCGATCTCCTGACCTCATGATCCACCCGTCTCGGCCTCCCAAAGTGCTGGGATTACAGGCTTGAGCCACCGCGCCCGGCCCCTTTTTAGATTTTATGTTGATTCCAAATTGCCACCACAGTGCCCACCACAGGTTTGGTCTAATGTTAATCAGAAGGGTAACGGTAAGAGTCAGGGAGGGACAGAAAGACATGGGGCCAGAGACAGCCTAGCATGATGTAGGTAAGAGAAGAACAGTCAGTGGGATCTAGGATAATTGCAGGCAAAAGGCAAAAGAGGCATGAGGTCAAAGGAAATCGAAGTAGTTGCTGGTACTATGGAGACGCAGGCAGTGTCTTAGTAAGCATGTAGAAACCCACAGAAGAAACGGGTGAGAGTGCAACCAGTTGGAAATAACACAGCTCAATCAAGCCACATTTCTTGGAAGAGGAGGTGTAATATTTTGGACACTGTATCAGTTCTAGAAGAGAGCCATCCCGAATGGACAGCACCTGGTCTGAAAAAAACAAAAACAAACAAAAAAAAAACCCTGAACATCGAAAGCAGTTCCTCAGAGAGTTGTGTCGAAAGCAAATGTGTTGTTGTTCTTCATATCTTTCTGGAGGGTTTTTTTTTTTTTTTCCTGGGGGAGGAGTCAAGAATTTATATTTTGTAGTTTCATGGACTAACAAGACAGTAATTACAACAGACAGCTATAGGGATTATGGGGGACAGCTCTCTCAGACACAGATGGGATGGTAGTGAACTGGCAGTTCTAAGTGAGGGTGTCAACAGGTATGAATGGAACAAATAGATGAGTGTTGAGGGAGGGTTTATAGGAGGTGTCAGTGGGTATTGATGAAAAGGGGGAAAACGAGGAGAAAGGGATGAAAAGAGAATAATTTTAAAAGGAGGGCAAGGGCATAGGGAGAGGAACAACTATAAAACAAGGGATGGAGATAGGAAAGATAGACAAGTGATTCTAATATATTGGCATCAATCATTGTTGGAGACAGTGGATCATCTGATACAAGCCATATAAAGGTAAAAAGACTAGCTCCTGATCCCAAGTGCTTTGAGTCTTATGTGTACAGCACACACTATATTAGCTTTATTAAATGGTCTACATTCTTATCCTGAGGATGAAATTATTTTATTATAGTCTCATCACAAAATCCATCAACAGTGGAAACAAATGGAAATGGAAATGCTTCAAAACAACCTGTTTTTCCCATCATACTATTACAAGGGAGTTAGGCTGAGGTTTTAAAAGAGTAGGTATCTCAGTCTTTCTTACTCAGATCCTCTAGAGCAAGGTTTCTCAACCTTGAGAAACTATTTCTATTGACATTCTGGGCCAGACAATTGTTTGATGTCAGGGGCTGTCCTCTGCACTGTAGGATGTTTAGCAGTATCCCTGGCCTCTACCCACTAGATGTTACTAGTACTTCCACTTGTGATATCCAAAAATGTCTCCAGGCAATTTGGTGGGCAGGCTGAGTGAGGCAAATGTCCCCTGAGAGGCAAAATCACCCCCAGTTGAGAACCCCTGAACTATAGGAAAATAATCAGATTTCTATGACTGTTCCACATCATATACAATAAAATTCTACTTAGAAATGCTACATGTGGCCGGGCACGGTGGCTCACACCTGTAATCCCAACACTTTGGGAGGCCGAGGTGGGTGGATCATCTGAGGTTGGGAGTTCCAGACCACCCTGACCATCATGGAGAAACCTCGTCTCTACTAAAAATACAAAATTAGCTGGGCATGGTGGCGCATGCCTGTAATCCCAGCTACTCAGGAGGCTGAGGCAGGAGAATGGCTTGAACCCGGGAGGCAGAGGTTGCAGTGAGCCGAGATCATCGTGCCATTGCACTCCAGCCTGGGCAACAACAGCAGAAACAAAAGGAAGGGAAAGGGGAAGGGAAAGGGAAAGGAGGGAAAGAAGGAAATGAAAGAGAGGAGGGAAAGAAAGGAGGGAAAGGAAGGAAAGAGAAGAAAGAAATGCTACATGTGACCAGCACTACTGGACCATTTTCCTACCCCAGAAAATTATTCCCAACATATCTAAAATCAGTGCAGCAATGATGCTAAAAAGTAGTCTACTTTAGAAAGCCTTACCTTATTTACTAGTGAGGACTAGTAATGTGACTTCAGTGTGACTTGCATAAAGAGCTTACACTGCATTTTTGCAGACCTTCCCCTTCCCTCCTTGCCACACTTCTGGTGCAATTTTCTTCTTTGCCCCTTGACCCAAACATGAACATAGACATTTTATCCTTGATCTAAATCTGTACTGTCCAGTGTAGTAGCCACGAAGTACATTCGGCTCTGCAACTGAGGAACTAAATTTATAATTTTAATTAAACTTTAAAACTCATAATTCACTAGGTAACTTTTAAGTATGTTTGAAATAATTTGGATATGTGAATCTATTTTTTCCATTTTAAATTTTATGTAATCTCAGTATAAATTATTTATGAAAATGTAATATGTGAATTGAGATGTCCAATAAGTATAAACACACTGGCTTTCAAAAAATGGAATACAGGATATTAATAATTTTTATAATGATTAGATGTTGATATAGTAATATTTTGGATATGATGGTTTAAACTAAAGATAATTTCACCTGCCTTTTTGCATTTTAATATGGCTCTTAATAAGAAAGTTTTAAATTACATAGGTGAATCCTATTATCTTCCTATTTATTAGACAGAACTGACCTTCAGTTCTGCAGAAGACCATTCCACACAAAGGAGAGAGGTAATGCAAAGTCTCTGATTAGGAATGAATTTGGTGTGTTACAGGAACTGAAAAAGGTCACGTGTTGAAAGCACTGGATTAAGGGGAAGGTCACACAAGATTAGGTTAGAGAGGTGAGCAGGGGCCGGGATGTGTGTTCTAAACGTGATGGGGAACTACTAGAAGGGAGGAACATAATCCAATGTTTGTTTTTAAAAGATCATTCTGGCTCCTTAAAGAGGCAAGAATGAGAAAATAGCAGAAGTAAGGAAATCAGTCCAGAGGCTACTGTAGTAACCCAAGTGAGAGAAGGTGGTGGCATGGACCATGGGTTCCCAGTGGGTATAAAGAGAAACGAACAGATTTAAGATACATTTTGGAGATGAAAATATAATCTTGCTCATTGTTGTAGATTCCTAAATTCTGCTTGAAAAGATGTCTCTGTATTAGGTTAAACAAATGAAATCCCTTGTTTTTGTGGGTCAAAATGGTTAAATACCAGAAAGGTAAAATGATTTAACCTAATAGAAACAAATAATGACAGAGAAGAATCAGAGGCATGAAACTGGAGAGGGGACATTGAAATGGGGCTTATTTATTAAAATGAAAATTTTTATTGTTCTCTTCTCCTTAAATCTCTCTGTGGAAGGCACCCTTGTCAAAAAAAAAAAAAAAAAGAGAGAAAAAGAAAAAACAAACAAAAACAAACAAACAAAAAACCCTTTGTTTAAAGACAAATTGCCAACAAACCCGATGAGATTCAGAACACTGCTGCAATAACGTATCTCTGTAGAAACTTATACTTTCACCTGGACAGCAAATTTCCTAAGCTGATAAAACCAGGTTATCAACGAAAGGCGAGAGTACAGAATTTAAAGGAAGAATGCCTGAGTATGAATCTTTGTTCTGCCAGTTACTAGTTATATGACCTTGGCTAATACACTTATTTTCTCTGAAACTCAGGTTCCCCATCTGTAAAACAGTATTATAATGATATCTACCTCATAAAGTAGGAATTAAATGAGTGACCAAATGTGAAAGGTTTAGAAGAGTGATTGGCCCATAATGTTATAAAAGTCTTAGTCCCTAACAGCGCACTTAGATCTTTTTGTTAGCCTTAAATTCAGCATTTTCTTCCTATCAAAGCTGCTTAAATCAGTTAACTGACATTTGATCTTCATGGACTCATTGTATTGTTGCTGTTGTGTGTATTTTTAAATAATACTCGTAATCTTAACAATTAGCATAATTTTGAACCGCTCCCTAATACTTAACCCCAATCCCAAACCGGACGGTCGAGCGTATCCACCGGCAGAGAACACCACCCAACCTCGCTCTCTGACACTCACCGGCCAGACCTTTTCTTCCGTCCGTTTTCTGCCTCTGGCCCAGGGCCCAGCTCACGTAGCGTTTTCGTGGGCTGCTTGGGAACCGTTAGCAACCGGAAGTGGCTAGAGGTCGCGAGAGACCTGAAAAAGGGGGCCGGTCTTTCCCAGCCGCCTAAACACTTGGGTTCCGGCCTGGAAGGAGGCCCAGGGCTCCCACAAGGAGAAATTAGGGACCTATTTGGATGGATCCGAAGAAACACTGTCTGGCATCTGATTTGAACGAGGCTCGCCGCAGCTGGGCCCTTTTCGCAAAGTAGGCCCACTGCAGACCTGTGGGAACCTCCGGGATGCCTGGGGACCCGCATCTGCCGCTACCCGCAATTTCCTATCCCGACCCTCTCTGCAGTTGTCGACCCCAGCCTGAGACTTTGAGCGTGGGGTCCCGCAAACCCTGGCACCGAGGGGGCCGAAGCCGAGCGATCTTGGGGTAGAAGAGTGGTCCTATAGAGCTGCCGCTTCGGGAAAGCCCCCAGTCGACCGCTGATGGGGAATGGGGGATTTTACTGTTTTAGTGCAGCCCGCCCCCGGAGAAAGGCGGGCTCGGACGTTCTTGACTTTAGGATAGACTGGGGAGGGGCGCCGAGGAGCATTCCTCCCTTTACGTCTCGCGGTCGCAGACTGTATTTGCCGGTGCCCTGCTCACTGGGAACTGGCAGGACCTTGCGGACTTACGGAGACGACAAGGGGCCTATTTTGAGTTTCTCTGATCCTTAGGGGAAATGAGTGTCTAGAGCGAAATAGGTGCAGAGTGCCGGCACTGGAATTCTTTAAACCTGGATTCAAATTCTGACTCCACCACTCTCCAGTGAGGACTTAGGGCAATTTATTTTTTAACTTCTTCAAGCCTCTGTTTACTCGTTTATGTAAGTCAGGCTAATAACGTAGTGCCTATTTCATAGGGTGGCTTTGACTATTAAGTGTGAGAGTGCATCCTTTTCCTGTCAGAAATGTATGGCACATCTGCATATTTCAAGGGCTACCACTTACTAGAACTGGGAGGGAGATCTCAGAACCGACACCTCAACTATGGAAGCTTTAATCTATTGACAGCAAATGTAACAATAGCAAGTAATATAAGACAGAATGTGATCAGTGCAAAATCGAATAATAAAGTCTTGAGAGGGGGTTATTAGAATAATAGACGAGTGTTTAGATTGAGTAGTGAGCAATGAGATAAGTCCTTTGACTTGGGGGTACAGGGGAATTGTGACCAGGGGTATGGGATAGGGAGAAGGTCATTCTGGAAGGCAATAAAAGGCAGACTGGATGCTAGTGGTATAAAAAAAGGAAAACACTTGTTTATCAATGTCTATCAACGGGGAAGAATTACATATGACATATGCTATTGAGGAATACCTTTCAACCGTTAAAATGATAAATGATCAGTGACAAAAGGAGTGTCAGAACAATATATATTCCATTTTTGTTGAAAAATTTTGTGTATATAGATATAATTTGTGGGGTATTTGTACAGGAAAAGGATGCACTCCAGACTTAACAGTGATTACCCCATGTCGAAAATTGTGAAACTTTTACCCTACTTTGCAAGCTAACAATTTAACTTGCCACAGTTTTATGGATACTAACAGAAGACACTGGACTCCTGCGTCAGAGACATAAGACTTTATTACTTAATAACACAGGCAACATAAGCTTTATATTCCCTTGTTCCCAAAGCTTATGTTCCCAAAGCCCACAGAGTGGCCTAAGCTTGGCATTCCTCTGCTAGGATGGAACAGTGGGTTTGCAACCTAACAGAGGAATGCCAAGCTTAGGAAGCCCATCCTTTGCTTAGCCTTGCCCCAGAATGAGCCATTATCTTTATCCTGGTCAGGAAACAACTGTGCTCTAAAAGGAGATACAAATATCCTTGAAAAGCTAACCTGAAAGAAAAATCTACCATAAGACTAGGAGTAATTTGAGAGACCATTAAAGAATTATCCCCCAACATTCTAGGTAAATACCATTTGAGGGTAGAGATACCAGCTTTTAATAATTTGATATATCATGTTTCATTTATTTTTAAAAATACAAAAAATAAAAGGCAAACAGAGAAGTTTAAATTTTACTTAGAGATAAGGAACCACTCAGGGTTAGTGATTGGAAGAATGATAATGATATTTAAGGACCACGTCTTGGATAGTTAGGAAGACTATCTCAAGTCTGTTGCAGTCACATAGGTATGAATTAATTAGAACTGAGGATGGTGGTTACATTAATGGAGAAAAGTAACATTTCAAAGGAGAAATCTGGTGCTGATAATTTCTCCTTTATCTCCATATTTCATTGAGTAAGCTAAGGAAGCCTCTCAAACCTGGATAACTTAGAAATTGGTGATATTATCAACCATTCTAATGGATATGTGGTGGTAATTCATTGTGGTTTTAACTTTGCATTTCCCTGATGAATAATTATTACTTTTTAGTGTGCATACTGGCCATTCTTTTATCTTTTGTAAACAAAGTGTTCAAATATTTTGCCTATTTGTGTTGAATTATCTTATTCATTTAATTGTGAGAGTTCTTTATATATTCTGGATAGTTCTTTGTCAGATAGATGTATTACAAATATTTTCCAGTGTATAGCTTTTTCTTCACTTTCTTAATGGTGCTTTTTTTGAGAAGATTTAAATTCTGATGAGAATTTAAATTTAAAATTTTTAAGTCAAATTTATCAATTTTATCTGTTATAATCGGTGTCTGTGTGTCCAGTTTGAGAAAACTGCCTATAGCATGATGCTATTTTACTTCCTATGTGTACACAATTTTATACATAGTATGTGCAGTCATAGTTGTGTGCACATTGAATTTGTACAACTACGTATGTGCACAACTTCAGACTTAAAAATTATTTGTTTGTTTATTTAAGATGAGACAGGGTCTTGCTCCACTGATCAGGCTGGAGTGCAATGGCAGGATCTCAGCTCACTGCAGCCTCTGCCTCACAGGCTCATGTGATTCTCCTGCCCCAGCCTCTGGAGTAGCTGTGACTACAGGAGCCCACCACCATGCCCGGCTAATTTTTGTATTTTTTGCCAAGATGGGGTTTTGCCATGTTGGCCAGGCTGGTCTCAAACTCCTGAGCTCAGGTGATCCTCCCGCAGCTTCCCAAAGTGCTGGGATTACAGTCATGAGCCACCTTGCTCAGCCAAAAAAGTTATTTTTTAAACGTAAAAAAAGAAACAAAGTAGAGTTCTAATCTGTCACCAGTTACTTCCAGTTACCATCCCAGGTGGAAAGCAACAGCTGTGAAATAAAAAGCAAAAATAAGTGCTTTGAAGGAGTCCAGAAGCACTGTAGCTTCCTAGTGTTTACTATTATTTACTTGTTTTCATGTGATAATTAGATGACAAAACCCTTAAATCAAAACAACTTTGTCAGTACACAAAATTTGGGGAGTTAGTAATTGGGAAGGGATAGAAACGGTGGTGGTAGCTACCAGCAGGAGCAGATAAAGAGGGAAATTAAGGTGAAAATTGGAGGAGCCCTGAGAACTCAATAAATAGGTGGTTGGGAAAGGCGCTGAAGGAAATAAATACATGAGACCTAAACAACAAAAATTAACTCTTGCCACAACCTCCACCCCTGAAATCCTATTAGTCTCAAAAGTTAAAAAGCTGTAATGCAACAGGTCTGTTCATTACATAGGGCCAGGGCGGTGGCTCATGCCTGTAATCCCAGGACTTTGGGAGACTGAGGCAGGAGGATCACTTGAGCCCAGGAGTTCGAAACCAGCCTGGGCAACATACTGAGACCCCCCCACCCCCACCCCGTTTCTACAAGAAAAAATTTTTTAAAGCTGAGGTTGGTGCACACCTGTAGTCCCAGCTACTTGGGGGACTTAGGTGGGACGATTGCTTGAGCCCAGAAGGTTGAGGCTGCCGTGAGCTATGATCACACCAACACACTCTGCAATAGCGCCCCGTCTCAAAAAAAAAAAGACTAGCAAAAAAAGAATGAACATAGATTTGTTCCCCAAATTTTGTGGTATTAAAACTAGGGTTTACTCCCCAAGCTTACATCATAGGTTTAGCATTAAAACAGCTAAGCAGCAAAGCAGATGTTGTAAGCAATTGAAATTCATTAACATAGGAAAGAGTGGGAAATATGTAAAGATCCAAAAATAATATATATTTAATTACGATTTTTTGAATACTTAATAAAGTATGCGATTCCTAAGTGCCATGCCATAGGGATTTCACAAAACTATGAACTGTGATTAGCAGGAATTTCTCATGAAGTTTGTACTCTATGTGGGAGGATTGGATATATTTATGAATATATTTATGAACAGTAAAGTACAGGGTATGTAACGGGGCCAAACGCGAGTCCAGTTGGAATCCTAAGGAACCATGAAGTGCTCCCTCCTCCAACACTTTCCTAGCCTCCTTACACAGCTCTAGCCTCCCTACGTCGGATATCTACCCCCAGGGGGCCGTTACTATTGTCAGCGAACGCGCGGAGCTGCACGAGCACACAAGGCAGAGGGGACACCAAGGTCCGTTATTCCCCAGCACGTTCACTGCCCCAGCGACGGGGAAGCCTGAGGCACGCAGACGAACCCGAGGCACAGCACACAGCAGGTGAGGGGCGTGGTACTCCTGTACCCGCAGTCGGCAGACCATAGAGCTTTTAGACCTCCAGGACTCCTAGAGAGCTTCCGGAAGTGCCTTTGGGGCAAGATGCGTGCTGGACGGTGTTGTGCCTCCGCAGATTTGGAAGTTAGTGGCCGGAGGGCCCTGGTTGGAGTACAGTTTTCATCTCCTTTACTTCCCGACCTTTCTCCGGGTGTGTTTATCCGTTGCAGCGTACCTTCCCCCCGCCGGGGCGCCTCTGCAACTCACAGTGAGTACGGTCGGGCTCTGGGTCGGAGAAAAGTGGGTGCTTTGTGGCTGGTCCAGGCCGCAGCTGAGGACTGGCGTGAGGGGTCCGCAGAGGGGCCTGTGCGGTGGTCGTCGCCGCGGACCGATTCCGACGCCTTAGTTGCTGGTACAGGCAGAGTACGTCCCCACGCATTGCCCTCGAACTTTTTGCGAGGGAACCTTTTATGAAGCTTTCTTCATAGATAATCGTTTTGTGGTATGATTTTGTAGTCGATCGTGTTTATCTTAAAATGGGGAACTGACCCCCCCCATGTTATTTTTTATCCAATTATTTCCAGAGTCTGAATTGTTTTCAGATAGCGCTATTTTGCGTTTCGGTCACAACAAAATTCTCAGTTTTTAAAAAAAGACATATTTTGCTTTTGGAAGCCCCAGTTTTCCATGCATACCCATTTTTGCTGTTACTCTGCTTTCTTTAGTGTTTTCAGAAACTGGTGGTGTGTTGACTAGATAATTGTACGAAAGTTTGTTTTGTTTTGTTTTAATTTCAAGGTAATTCAGAATTCAGCGTTATCAGAATGCCTATTTCATTCGTTAAAGCAAACTGAAGTTAGCCAACGAGGAACTCTGGGAGGTCCCCATTTCCAAAACTCTGGTTAGTCATGAATAATTTTTGTCAGGCTACTTTGACTGCCACCACCACCTTTAAAAACATATTTCTGGTGTTTGTTAGTTCCGTTGAGTATATTTACGAACAGTCATTGTTTTAGCAAATACATACATGTTTTGAATTTCTGTTGTGGTTAAATGTAAAATGTGATGTTAATTAAAACTTTCAGCTAATGCAATTTGAGATAACAAAGCATAGTATTCGCTTCACCTACTTTTTCTTGGATTTTAAATCCTGGAAAATGTCTTTTTTGTTTTGTTTTCAGTTCCCAAACATTTCTCAAATTAGACTTAGTCTGAAGGAAGAATACATTCC